AGTAAACATTTCTTCATTTATTTCTGTTCTCTAAGCTTCTATTAATTTTCTTATTCCTGTAGTTAATCTATGGATCACATCTAGGGATACCAGATCAAATTGAATCCTTTTTCCTCTATCACATGGTGCCAAATGAAAATATTATATACCAAGGATTTCTTCAGTTGCTTGTTTACTTCAAATGGACCTGGGTTGGGATCCTTGTGAGAGATGATGTTGATGAAATATTTGTGTGGATGATTTTTTTCAACTTTTCCTCTTCATGGCATTTGCATTGCCTTTTTAAAGATAATTAAACAACTGCACATCAGTAATGTATTTGTGGAACTGGAGTGGCTTGTGGAAACATTTTATCTCACTATGAATGCAATAATTGTCTATGAAACAACACTTCTGCATCTGAGGTTGTTGCTAAATCTTCCTAAAATTGAATCAGAATCCATGGAGCCAAAAGGTAAAGTGTGGGTCATACCCTGCCAAACGGATCTTGCAACAGTAATTTACCAAAGGAGCTGGGATATTCAAGACATCCATGGTGCCCTGTCCTTTTCACTTTATTCCAATGAAGTTCCAGGATTTCAGCAATTTGTTCAGGAAAGAGACCATTTCTCATCAAAAGAAGATGGCTTTATTAAAGATGTGTGGATGCATGCGTTTCAATGTGACTTTCCCAGTTCCTTGGTCAATGGGGAAGAGAGTGACATTTGCACAAAGAAGGAGAAATTAGATGACCTCCCTGGGGCTCTTTTTGAAATGAACATGACTGGTCATAGTTATAATATATACAATGCAGTGTATGTTATAGCTCATGCTTTACACGCCATGCATATAAAGCAAAAGCACAATGGAAAGTTGAATCGGAGAAAACTGAATATTCCAGAGCAACAATCATGGCAGGTACTGAACATTTCTGCTTTTTTTCTCTTTCTTTATACAAACCTGTATGCATTCACAATCTGTTTTCCATACAAAATCACATAAAACCAAAGAAATGAAGGTTTGAGATACAATATAAATGGGGGACATAGGAAAATCTAATTTATACCCACTAACTTTCTCCATAACTTTCTATCCTTCAAACACACTAGCTTTCACCCTTGCCAATGCACTGCTTCATGCAATGCTTGTTGTTATTCAACTATATTACCTCTCTCGTTTATGGATGTCATTAACTCTCTTTATGAATTTCCTAGTCTTGTTCTTTCTCTTACTGCATTCATTCTTTAATAAATATGTTCTGTAATTCATTTCTCATTTGTTCTCAGTCGGTCAGATTATCTCAATCTCCTTGCTTTGCATTATTTAATCCATGCTCATTCAGACTCTTCTTCCTTGATTCTTTTGTATCTTTCAGCATATATATTTCATTCTCTTTTCCAGGTAAGGAGCAAAGATGCATTTATACATAGACATTTTGTTTCTCTCAGTAAATATTTAGGCTATATGAAGGAATATACCAAATGTTGAGAGCTAAGAAAACTTCAGCAGATGTTGTTCCTACAATTGATGTGAAATATTTATTGATTACTGATACTGTATTAATATCCATTTTGTGTCTTCACTGATATTCAGCTCCACCAGTTTATGAAAAGAATCTCATTCAATAACAGTGCTGGGGATAGGATTCAGTTCAATCAGAGGAGGGAATTGATATCTGGATTTGATATTATAAACTGGGTCACCTTTCAAAACCAATCCTTCCAATGAGTGAAAATGGGGAAGCTGGATCCCTGTGTTAAAGAGGAAAAATTCACCATTCATAATTAAATCATCACCTGGCATAACAGTTTCAACCAAGTAAGTTTTGATTTTTTTTTCTTGCATGACTGGAATAATATCCAAAATAACTTGTGTACCATTTAACACTGAAATAATATTACAGAGGTTTTTTTATATAAAGACTTTGAGCATTTAGTTGTGATACGGCAATTTGAAATACCTCTCAGAGACAGGTATTTCAGGAATAAAATATTGATCTTTATTAAGAAGTTTAAAAGTAAATATTTATTCAAAAACAATAAAACATTTAGAAAAACAAAAATATAAGAATTTTAAAGAGTTGACAGGCTGCCAAAATAAGTTGGTCCAGATTCAGTGTTAAACCGGCTTGATAAAGCTTCCTGTAAAATTAGACTATTAGATATTTTAGATATTGGTAGATATTTTAGTTTTTTATTCTGATATTAATGAATTAACCAAATTCTTTTTATTAGTTGTGGGGGAAAAGGTATAAATTAAGATTTGTGAGCCAAGTCACGGTAAAAAAAAGTTAATGAAGTTAATGAACTAGATAAAATGCATTATTCTAATAATTCTGCTACAATAATTAACAATGAGATTATTTCTTCCATAGCGAAAAAGACAAATCGAACCATAATATTTCCCTGGAATGATTCCGGGGATTGTAGGTTGGGGACATTGCATTCTGAGATGGTGTTCCAGTCTATGGTTGTGGAGAGGACAGATCAACCCAGGGGTTGCTCCCATAAGGGTGCCATCAGATTAATTCTCTCTCTTTCTATTAGTCAATTTCTACTAAGATTGGATTGAAATACCATCATATCCTGAGATAGGTGCCTTAGTTTCTACCTGTTGTTCATATTGCAGGCCAGATATTACTGCAATAATAGTCCCTGAACTATAATAATGTCCTGTAACAACTCCATGTTTACTCTGGTAGGATAGGACAGTTACGACCTGAATGTCTCCTTTTGGAAATATTCTAGCATTGTTTGGGGCTTGGCATTAGTTCCTAACATGGAGCTTGGGAAGAAAAAAGAGTAATTATGTGGGAGAGCAAAGTGACTTACAACTGTTCATTTAGTGACTGTTGAAAGTTACAAAGGCACTGATCGTTTTTCACACTTATGACAGTTGCAGCATCACCATGGTCATGTGATTTGGATTTGGATGATTGACAACTCGTTCATGTTTATGATGGCTGCAGTGCCCCAGGGTATACATATATATATAGGTCACATCTTTTGTGACCTTCTGATAAACAAAGTCAAAGAGAGAGCCAGACTCACTTAACAATGATGTTACTAATTTAACAACTGCAGTGATTCACTTAACAAAGAAAATTAGTAAAATGGGGCAAAATTTTACACTTAGCAATATAAATTTTGGGGTCAGTTATAGTCATAAATTGAGGACTATGTCAATTTGACTGTGATTATTTGCTTTTGGAATTGTTTTGCTTAAGATCAGGATGCCACTGAATTTTTTTTAACAGTTTGCAATTCTTTTTGAGTATAGGTAGTCCTTGACTTATGACCATTGCTTTAACAACTATTTGGAGTTATGACTTATGACTGGATCTCATACTTATGATGGTTTCAGTGTGCTGCGGTCCCATAATTGCCATTTGCTATCTTGCCATTCAGCTTCCAAAAACAAAAGTCAAAAATGGAAGTCAAAACTATGGCAAAAAAGTAATAAATTTGGGTGCAACTCAGTTAATAACATCTCATTTAGTGATGCAAATTCCAGCCTTAATTGCAGCCAAGTAGTACCTGTATGTCATTTTTTAGCTCTGTCATCTTCATCTATCTATTATCCTCTTGAAAGTTGTTTCATTATATTATGTACCATTTGTCTGTGGAGTTTTTCAGTCATCCAGGTCATGACTGAAAATCTCCATAGACAAATATTACAGAATAGCACTCAGAGACAAATGGCACTCAAAGAACATGCTAATGACAAGACAACTGCCAACAAATATAATCCTTCCAACCCGCTCCCCTCATCCTATCAGAATTAATCCTTCTATCACCCTACCATCCTGCTTGAATTCATGAAGCTTCTTGAATGAGAAGTAAAACATCTTCCTCAAGTAAAAAAAGAAAAAAGAAAGTCCAGTTACCTTTTGAAAAAGCACCTTTCAGATTCCATACAATTGTATTAGATTCAATTAGTTTAAAAAATAAGCCTGAAAAATATGTTAAATTCTCTTTAGTTTTATTTAAAATGCCTCTATTATCCAAAGTGAGAGATGAAATGACAGGAAAAAAACATCAGTTTTGATGAGTCCCACTGAAATAACTTTGGCATAGGCTAAAATATTACCCAGTTTAAAAAAAAGAAAGTTACTTATACTTTTATCAAAGCAGGAGGGAAAGCCATTTTGCTGCTATGATTGCCTTCCATGCCCTAAAGAGAAAATTTCAGTCAAAAAGGGTAAGAAGTACCATGTTCTTCTTAAGACTGTAAAACCACGGCAGGATTTTGCCTGCATAACAGAGCACATATCATTCAAGTGAACATTTACTTGTTTATTGGTCTATGTAGAGTTCAATATATCTCTTTCTATCACTATAAAAACCACTAATGCAATTTACAAAATAATTCAAACCAATTTGGTCAAATGCTCTTGATTTTTCTTTCTTTCTATTCTTCAAATGTGCATCAAATAATCCATTATAAATGCTGTTCTGTTTGTGAATATCAACATTCATATGATTTTAGCCTAAGATGTCTCATCTCATCTCATCTCTACTCTACAATACTCTACTCTACTCTACTCTACTCTACTCTACTCTACTCTACTCTACCTTACCCTTCCATTCCACTCCACTCCATTATACTCCACTCCATTCTTCTCTACAATACTCTACTCTAGGCAATCCTAACCTACCCTTCCATTCCATTCCATTCCACTCCACTCCACTCTACTCTATTTCTATGAAAAAAGAGTTTGCTAAAAGAAAAATATACCATCCTAATCTTTCCTTAGTTAGATACAACAGTAGAAAGTGAGACTGAAATAGAATTAGCAATACTGTACCATGATCATTTTTACTTTCTTCTTTTTTTCATTTTAAAAACATTTGTTATACATTTTTATTCGATAATTTACTGGTTTCTACCATGATAATCTTTTTGTTTTGCTCCTTTTTCACTTTTTGTTATTTTAAAAACAATAACATAAATATATTATGGTCCATGATAACACAAATACAGACAATGATGCAGAAAAATTATGTACTTAAATTCCAGATATGCATGTTTGTTCAGAATGTCCAGAGGACCAACACCCAAGCAAAGAGAGGGATTCATGTCTTGCCAAGCAAATATCTTTCTTATCCTATGAAGAACCAACAGGAATAGGTCTACTTATTCTGGCACTTTTTTTTCTTTCTGCAGTTAGTGTTCTGGCAAAATTTTTGAAATATCACCATATTCCCATTGTCAAGGCCAATAACCAAAATCTTACCTACATTCTAGTCATTTTGCTCCTCCTATGCTTCCTTTGTTCACTGCAGTTTCTCATTATATAATATGTCTCCTTCAACAAATTAGCTTTGGCATCATCTTCTCTGTGGCTGTGTCTTCTGTATTGGCAAAATCCATCACAGTGATTCTGGCTTTCATGGCCATCAAGCCAGGATCCAGGGTGAGGAAATGGGTGGGAAAACAGTTAGCCATTTCCATTTTCTTTCTTGTTCCCTGAAGCAAGCAGGAATTTGCATTGTGTGGCTGTTCATATTTCCCCCTTTTCCAGATGTTGACACCCATTCAAAAATTGAGGAAATGACATTGCAGTGCAATGAAGGCTCAAGTATTATGTTCTACTGTGTCCTGGGATACATAGGTTTACTGGCAGTTGCCAGTTTTACAGTAGCTTTTTTCTCCAGGAATCTTCCCAGCAGTTTCAATGAGACCAAATGTCTCACATTCAGCATGCTGATCTTCTGCAGTGTGTGACTCTCTTTTGTTCCTTCCTACCTGAGAACCAAAGGCAAATACATGGTGGCTGTGGAGGTTTTCTCCATCTTGGTCTCTACTGCTGGGTTGCTAAGCTGCATATATTTACCCAAATGTTACATAACTATTGTTAGGCCAGAGCTAAACAATAGGGAACAACTTATTAAGCAAAAAAGATAGCCATACATACACAAAACATTTCTTTTCAATATTTTTCATATTTTAAATCTCTAATACATTAATCAAAATAGGATTTGTACTTGTTTTACTTAGTGGAATATGTAATCATTAAATTAAATAGATTTAGGAACTAATCTGTTTTTACTCATGGGTAGAGTATGAAATGAATTGCAGAATAGTATTTTTACATGTTAGGTTATATTTGAATAAATGTCAGTAACGTTTCTGGAGAACGCAGATGAATTTGAGTAGACTTTTTAATGAAGCTAGTTAATGCAAACTCATTTCCAAGTTTAGCAATGTGAAAATTTTCCAGTTATTGTGAAATTAAAGCTTTTCTAATGTTGGTGAATTGCAAAACATATTGAATTATTTTATATGAAAATATGAAAAAGTTTGGATTTTTGAGCTTAAATTTTCCAAGTCATTGTGAGTATATAAATGTTAAAAAATAAAGAGAATAAATAATAAATAAAGGAAGCTCCTTGGGGACAGTTTTTAATGTGTATGTATGTATGTATAGGTATTTATTTTAAGTTAATTATTTAAATTTTAATGGCTAAAAATGAGTGCAAACTAAACTTAGACCAAAAGGGCTTTTGAGGTAAGAAATGGCAAACTGAAGATGGGTCCACAAAAAACAGACCAAATGAACTGCAGTGAAAGACGAAGTGTTAGGGAATGCAAGAATTCTTTGAATCACTGGATAAGAGGCATGGGAAACTGCTCCAGACAAATGATCTTCATGAAGCGACTAAAAACAAAAGATGCCTGGTGGTTTTGATTGCTGAGAGTTGAAGGATTGGCTATCTTGTTCACCCTGTTGTCAGGACTTTTAAAATGGGCACTAAGCTGACATACTTCTTTTCCTAAGAATGTTCAGAAATTGCTAATTGCTTTTCATCTATTAGAGATTTGTATGTCTTACAGACTACATGAATAAAAGATGTCTCATTTGATATACAAAAGAAATTAGCAAGTTAAGAGAACATGAAATTTTTTTTAACATTGTTTACATCTGTTGTAATGCAGGTTGGAATTCACTTTTCTTTATTTTAACATACATTTCTATTCTCTACATTTCTATTTGTACTTTTTACTCTTTCTTTCTACTCTTCTTTTTAAATATGTATTAGTATTTACTATTGTAATTATAGTCTTTAGTAAAATTATTTAAACTTAGAAAAAGAGAAATAAAAAAGAAAAGGAAAAAGGAAAAGAATGAATTATTTATTTTTGAGCACTTATATTTTTCTATGTTACAATTGCTTACTTTTGTAGTTATTTCCAAAATTTATACTAAAATTAATATTCCAAATTTATCTGGATTCTTAATCAGTTATTTAGCTTTTTGTTGTTTATTTTAAATCCTTTCAATTCCCAGTTAGTAATGAATTTTTCTTTTGTTTAGTGTTGAAAATAAAGTCATACAATGCAGACTTTTCAAACTTGTCATTCTGAAGATCTCTAATAGCTTTAGGGTTAATTATAGACCATTTGTAAATGTGATTAGAAAAAGAGTTTTGCAAACTTAGTATTCTTTAAAAGTCATCACAGTTGAAATCAAGATGGCTGATTCCATTCTTCCATTGCTCAAAGCACGGAAAATGAGTTAATGGCTAGATATTTAACCTGGCAATTTAGTAGGTTCATTTTTATCAGAGCTTTCTTAATTTAATATATGACCATTCTATCAACTTATAATTAACATTGGGATAAAAATTTTGATTACTAAGGAATGTGGTTGTTAAGTGAATTATCATGTGACCAATTTTACAACCATTTCCCTCTGATTTAAGAGAATCAGGTGGTTGTTAAGTGAATCACATGGTTCTTAAGTGAACCCAGCTTTCCAAATTGATTTTGTTTGTCAGAAGCCAGCTGAGAAGGTTGTAAATCACAATCACATGCCCAAAGGTGCAGCAACTATTATAAATGCAAGCTGGTTGCCAAGTACCCAAACAGTGATCCCATAACTCTGTGATCTTAATTTTGAAGGCAGGTTGTTAGTCACTTTTTTCAAAGTTGTCATAATTCTGAACTGCTGTTAAGCAGGCACTTTGTAAGTTAAATACTAGCTGTATAAATTTGTTCCTGGAATCTGTGTTCACTATGACTACTGTACCTATTTGTCTCTCACTACAAAGAATGGTTCTTTATTTTAGAAAAACAGTATGTTAAATTTATTTATTTTTAAGAACTCAGTTTTACCCTTTACCTTTTACTGTATGATTACCATTTAATGCATAGTCTTTCACATAAATATGAAGCTGAATTATCATTTTAATGTATGGTATATGCATATACTCTTTGATTTTAGATATTTTTATTAGAGTATGTACTTTTGCAAAGTTTTTTCATGGTTTTATTCTTGAATTTTCCTTTGTAATACAAAATGATAAACAAACAATTTAAAAAATATGATCCTCTTTTAGATTTACCTTAGTTTCTAGTTTGGCCATTATTTTTTCCAAGAAAATATGATCACCATAAGTGTGACATGAATTCTTTAATATAAAATCTTTCTTATTTGGTTTGACTCAGCCTCCATTATTTCACTAACAATTATGACTCTTGGAAGATTTAAGTTTTAATTTATGAATTCTGAGGAAGTAGACAAGCTAAATTTGGAAGCTTTGCCAAACGTAGCTAATGTCCCTAGCAACTTCAAATAGGTTGAGGTTGCCCAAGGATATTTGCTTCTAGTCTAAATATCCCTTACTAACTTCTGTCTGGGCTACTGCAATATCTTTATGTAGGGCTTCCTTGGTATGTAATATGGGAACCTTGAAATCTGATGATTTTTTTTGTCTGCGATTATTTGGAGAGAACAGTATTTTGGTTTTTAATAGACAGTTACTCTGCTTGATTGTTAGTTTTCTATACAAGGATGCAAATATTTTATTTATATATTTTGCATATTGTCAAATGTCATTTACCTCATTATCATAAAAACAAATTTCAGATTGATCTTAAACATCATCTGAAATGTTTTTCTTTATTATTTGGTGAAAAATTATGTGACTCTTCTAACCTTGCCATTGTCAGCCCAGAAACCATCTTGAGATGGACTAAACAGGGCTGCCACAGCAATGGATGGGAGAGTTGTGGGAAAGGGAGTATAGCAAAGGGAGTATAACTATAACAACATATTTCACATGAGATCAAGGATGGGTTGCTGGCACCTGGAATGGGAGACACTGAAGTTTGGAGGCATCAGAGAATGCAGATTGATTGGATCTTGTGATATGCTTGTAATTGAACAGGGCAGGGTGTGAATTTAATGTAGGTGAAGGAAAACATGGGAGCTCAGATTTGGGTTTTCTTCAGATGTGCCAAGATGACTTCTCTAATAAATTCTTACTTTGATGGACTTTGTCTCAGAGTTCTGAATGGTCTTGAGAGTTTCCTTGGAACACTGAATCTGCTAAAAAGAAAAAATCCCAGAGGCTGCTTGCAAAGTGCCACTATCTGGGATCCTGATCCCCGATTGCACCCCAACCTGCCAAGGTGTGCAAAGACTTAGGGAAGATGGAGAAAGGAGCAGTGACCTCTGAGGGAGCCACCGGTTCCATATAGGAGGATGTTAGCAGAGCCATCTGCTATTCCTTGGTAGCTGTGGTTGCTGAAGCTAAGGCAGAGGAGGCCAAGCTTCGGAGGGGTGCTGAGCCAAGGAGTAATGCTGTTGCAATCACAACCAACTGGCCTGATATTGACTGGTGTCTACCTGCTGTGCAACTGGCATGGGAGCCTGCAGAGGTGACTCGGAGACCTAAATGGGAGACAGGCCTAGCCAAGTGCGCACTACCCTGCAAATGGAGGGTATTGAAATCCCTGGAGCTGAGCAAGCCCCATGAGTGATGACTTCAGCCATTGTCATGAAGCCAGTCACTAGCGGGACTGTCTGAAAGACTTGAGCAGTTTGGTGTGGGATTCACAGCTCAAGTGACCCCATACTCGACCCAGCCTGGTTGGAGCCTAGCTCAACCGGTGGTGGGATTCAATTTTTTTTACTACCAAGGATAATGTAAAATCTTCTATCAGAGATGGTATTTGCTGGTTCTCCAAACTACTCAAAATTTCTGCTACCAGTTCTCCATAATTGAATCACATGGTTGTTAAGTGAACCCATGAATTGATGAATACTACCTCTGAGCTCAACCTATCTTCAATTTCCCATGGCAAGGCAAAAGTGGCAAGCCAAAGTGGGGCCTTGACTTTGTTCCACACAGTGCTGGTCAGACCTAGATCCAGCCTCCCATCGCGGATTCAATCTGTGGGGCTGATGGCCCAGCAGGGTGCCACAGCC